TTCCCGTCCGGCCCCGGGATCCGCTCGGACCGGCGCCCCCCGCACGTCGTCGGGCGAGCAGCCCCGTCTCGACGCCCGGGCACGTCTCCCCCGCCAGCCCGCCCGCCCACCGGCCGGAACGCGCTACCGGGCACCGGGAGAGGGGACACGCACACCCACGCTCCCCCCGCGCATCCTCCTCCCGGCACTTTTCTCGAGGTTCCTCGGGCCCGCCGGCTCCCGTTACCGGCAGAGTGGGCACCGGGCGGAACCGATTCTATTGCACCGTCAGACTAAATCGCGTCGGCTCCTTGCGCCCGCCCGGGTACCGATTCTGAACCGCATCGGGCCCCGTTGCGGTTTTTTCCTTCCCCCACTCCCGCTGCCCCCTCAGGACGAGCTCGTTTGGCGGGGGCTCGGTTAATAATTCCCCAACCGACTCTCACTGATTAAAAGCCTTAAAAATTCTCACTGGGGTGAAATGGATTACCCGGCAGATTAGGGGAGGATTATCTCTGTCATTAGCGCCGCAACAGTTTGTCCGGCAGAGTCCGCCGAGGTTTATCCAAAGTGACTTTGCAGAGCGCCACCAGCACCGGGCAGAGATCAAACCCCGAGTGGAACCGTCCCCCGCTCTATCAGCACAGCGAGACAGGGCCAGCTCCGGGAAAGTAATAAATGACCCGACTTCAAAGCGGCTGACGACGCCGTGATAACGGCGGGGAAACGCGTGAGTCACGGGAGGGAACAAAGAGCTTTGCAAGAGCCGCTTCTTGGAAAAAAAAAGTCCTGCCCGCGGCCGGACCACGCGGAAAAAACGAGCCGGGAAGGAGGAACCCTTCGCGCGAAGCCCGGAGCGCGCCCACGAGCGGCCACCGCTGCCCCGGGACGGGGAAACGGAGGAGTGTGTGTCCCGTCCCCCCCCCGCGTCGAGGCGCGATGCGACGGCGAAGCGGCTCCCCGTTCGCGTCCAACCGGGAAGCGGGACCGGGGGCGAGAGGGCGAGCCCCGGGAGTGAGGGCCCGGTGAGCGCTCACCGGCCGGGATGGACGGGCGCCGCGCCTCCATGCGACGGGCATCACCGCCCGGTACCCGCCGTGCGCGGGGAGAGCCCGGGGCTGGCGGGCGGCGCGGGCCCCTCTCCCGCTCCCCTCCGCCGTAGGAAACACCGCGCACCGCTCCGCGGCCTCCCCCGCCAAACGGGGTCCTTCGCCCCTACCGGTTGCCCCCAAACCGGCCGCAGGACTTAGATACGGTCTCACGAGTGCCGAGTGCGGGGGAATCATCCCTTCCCTCGGGCTCCTGGGCTGCCGTCGGGTTTGTGCAGCCCAGAGATGCTGCTGGCATCCTGCGCGGGCAGGGCACACGGCTGGCTCCTGCCCACCAGCACTCCCAGTACCCCCAGTACCCCCAGCCCTGCCGGCGGGGACCGCTCCGAGCCGCACGGAGCATGGCGGGCAGGAGGCCCCTCGGTCCCCCCACCGCTCGCCCCCGGCCCGCTCCTCCCGGGCATCCCCGTCCCGTCGAGCCGAGGGATCCGCCTGGGAGAGCGAACACAGCTTCAGCACCTGCGGACCGCGTACGGCAACCGCCGTGCATGCCCTTCCTCGCCCCGGGGCTCGCCGCGGGGGGGGGGGGGGGGCGCCCA